ATTCCTTGAAAATTAATTTAATATGGTACAAAATAGCAGACCATCTTGTACCATATTAAAGTATCTTGTACCATATTAAATTGATTTTCAAGGAATTTAATTTTGCGAATCTTGAAAAATCCGCGAAATTTGTTATCCTCAAAAATAACCAGCTATACGGTAGCTAGCATTTACATGTAGTTGGTTGAGTATGTATAAGAAAAAATTATTAAAATGGAGAACTCCTTAATTTTGGCAAAATCAAGACCCTGTACTTTGTGAAAAACTTTACAAAATTAATAAAAATCCAATTTTGATCAGGGCCAGCTCAAACTTTCTACGTAACATACATAAGTACATGTACATGCATCAGAAAAAAATTATAAAAACAAACAATTCTCTCTCAGCAAAATATGGCTCGAAACCCTTATAGCCCTTTGGCCCATTTTTCAAGAAATAAATTTATTGTAAAAAATTATTTTTGATCAGAATCAGTTCAAACTTTATAAGCAACATAAGTACATGTATATGTATCAGAAAAATATAAAAATTGAAAATTTCTTTTTATTTTTGGTCAAATTTGGCCAATAACCTGTACAGATTTTTGAGCAAATAAAAAAATTTGTAAAATAGTTTAAATTTGATCAGAATCAGCTCAAACGTTTATGCAACATATCCACATGAATATGTATCAGAAACAATAAAAATGGAGAATTCTCTCCCTTTCAATTTTGGCAAAGTTTGGCTTGAAGTCAGTGGTCTTTGGCCCAATTATTAAGTAACTTCAAAAATTTGTAAAAAATTTAATTCTGATCGGAATAAGCTCAAACATTTTATGCAGCCAAAATACATGTACATGCATCAGAAAAAATATTAAAAAGAAGAATTCTGACTTAGCAATTTTAGGTGAAAATTGGCTTGAGACCATGCCATGTACTTTTAAAAGTCTATGATTGAAACATACAGTAAATACATTATTAAACATACCTGATTCCTTCTTTCTTCATTCCTTTTTCACTTCCTGGTCCCTGGAGATGCACTGTGCTTCAACTAATCATTAATTTTAGCAAAGCAGTTGGAGCCATCTTGATTAGCTAATATCAAAATGAGCCCCACCCATTCCAGTGACCTTACGCCCACGTTTATCATAAAACAACTTAAAATAAAAAGTAAAAACAAAATCAAGAGTATTTTGATGACAACAACAACAACAACAATAATAATAATAATAATAAAACTCAAAGGCAAGTTAGCGATAAGAAGCTTCAACTAGTTTAGTAGCTATTAGTTTAAATGGTTCTATTCTGTTTAATACATTAATCAGTTCAGTTAGTAATTCAGGTTGTGTACTGATTGTAGACATTAGTGATATCATTAGACCTGTACTCTTCTCTTCCTCTGTCTTGCTACTTCCTTCAGTAGCATTCTTATAACAATCGAACGTGACGAGACCTTCACTAAATAATTCAGGAGCAACTGTCAGTCTATTAGAAGAAACTGATAACAATTTTGATAGTGTACCAAACTGTTTCCTGAAAGCTTCTACTGATAGTTCAGGATCAAATGATGGTTGCTGGACCTGTTGATCTATTGAGTGTATTATTAAAATCAAGTAATAATACAAAATACAATACCTGTAGATACACTAGGACTAGCTTGTGCTCCAGTTTGTACTGCAGTAGTGGCTGATGCTATGATGAATACATACATAAAGTAATATCATGCACACACTCAGTTAGTTACCTGATGAAGGGTGAGGAGTATTTCTTAATGATCTGTGGATGAAGATTGTTACTGGACGCGTAGTCCATCCACTGGATGGACTACACCTTCAATTGGTATAGCATAGTGTAGCATAGCTTCAGTATGAGGGGCAGGTGACCCGTAAACTGAAATGATACAAGTAGGAGGGAGAGGATAATCTTCTTTACCAAAATTGTCAATGTCTTCCTTATATAACTATAATAATACAACAATAAAAGATTAGTTATAATTAATTATCTTACTCTGGAAGGTTTAACATTAGTGTTGTTCTAGTTCTTCTATACTAGAACTAAATAATTATTGTTCTGCTTAGTTCTAGTTCTAAAAACTAGAACTAGAACTAGAACTAATTTTTTTGTAGCTGAAATACTAGAACTAATACTAGAACTAAAATTATTTATTTGAAGTACTAGAACTAATACTAGAACTAAAATTATTTATTTGAAGAACTAGAACTCTATACTAGAACTAAAATTATTAATCCTGAAATACTAGAACTAATACTGGAACTACAATTATTGAACCTCCTTAGAACTAGAACTAATACTAGAATTGAAAATACTGGTTACAAAGTACTACAATAAACAGGTGAACATGTTTTTAGGCAAAACCTAGCTGTTACATTTTTATATAAACTGTACCAGTGACATTTCGATCATTTTATTGGCAGCAGTAAAACTTATTACTTTGTGTATATTGCATTTGATGTACATTTGAAACATAACTCAGCAATATAACAAAAAAGATTTTAGTTAAGAGCTACTACTAGTATTTAAATTACTCCAATTTTTGGCATGACTTGACTGGAACGTAAGTATTGGAGGCTTTAGTTCTAAACTAATACCAGAACAAAAATTGCTATAATTTTAGTTAAAAGAACTATAACTAGAACTAAAATCACAGTATTTGTAGTCAAAAAACTATAACTAGAACTAAAATTGTTGTATTTATTGTCAGAGAACTAGAACTAGAACTAAAATCACTGTATTTTTAGTCAAAAAACTAGAACTAGAACTAAAATTGTTGTATTTATTGTCAGAGAACTAGAACTAGAACTAAAATTATTGTATTTCTTGTCAAAGAACTAGGACTAAAACTAAAATTAATATATTTTTAGTTAAAAACTAGAACTAGAACTAAAATAATAGTATTTTTAGTCAAAAAACTAGAACTAGAACTAAAATACAATTCCATACTAGAACAACACTATTTAACATGTGGTTTGATTTTCCAACCAGTAAATGGGTCATTTTGTGGAGTATGATTAAGAACCAGCTCAATATATTCATTATCATCTTTTATATGAAAGGTTATGTTCTGTCCCATTTTAGACTCCTTGTGGTAATTTTAAACAAACTAAAATTGAGATAATAAAATAATAATAAAGCAGTAAGTATACTAGTGTACCTCAAGGAGTGCATTTAAATTCTTTGCTGCAGTAAACGTCAATAGATCCTCTACTCCATCTTGTTCATAATAAGTTATTCCAGAGTACGTTATTGCTTTCGCCAAACCAGTGGAGGACTCTAAAATTAAGAAAAATAATAAATAATAATAATAACAGTGATAAAATGACTCTCACTTACTTTCTCTGTCATTATCTCCTTCCTCTCCTTGCAGTGTGTGCTGTCCTTTGGTCTCTTGTTTTCCTTCCTCAGTCTCACCTCCTTCTCTCTCTTGTACTCCATCACCATTTTCCTCATCTTCCTTCCCTTCCTCTTTTTCCTCCGTATTTCCTGCTCCTTGTTCTTGTCACTCTCCTCCTTCCTCCTCTTCATGATCTCCTCCTCCATTTTCATTCCCTCCATTATGGCCTTCTCCATTTTCCTCTCCTTCTTCTTCCTCCTCTTCTTCTCCATTAGTCAAGGACCCAACGATACTAAC